GCAGGTAGCGCCACTTACACATTTCCTGACAGAACCGATTTTCATCAGAAAACGCCAATTCCGATGAGATTGAAGCATTTAATCCCCCAACATCTTAATTTTGACGGATGGCTCCTCCCCGGGGCTCCTGCAGATGGCTGTGGGTCGTGTYGGATGTAATGCACTCGCGGCCCTGGGACGGCCGGGGTGATCCCGGCAGAGCTGCGGCCAGGGACGGGGATGGCTCCTGGACTGACAACTTGGGGCTGGAAATTCCAAGTGCACCAGAAATTYACCATTTTTAGCTACTTCCACCTGCTCAGGCCCTGGGAAGGACCACAAGGAAGACGGAGGGGAGGGAGGAAGAGCCCCACAATTTGTCACAGTGACCAGGTGGGGTGAGGCTGTCCATGTCCTGATGTCCTGATGTCCTGATCTCTGCATCAGCCTACATGACATTTTCCAGCAGCAGCCCTGATAGCCAGGGCAGGTGGGGAGCTGTCCCTAACATCTCTACACTCACCCCTGGCCACCCACCAGCATGGTCCCCCACTGCTGGAAAATGTGTCTGTGYGGGGCTGGGACGGCTGAGCCGAACCTCCCCTGATGAGAAGAAAATGGCAGCGGTCACCTGGGGACGGAGCCATTTGCAGCCAGCCCAGCTGTCTGCCTGGGACGCAGAAAGTCGTGTCTCTTTTCCAGGATCCTCTCCTGGAGCCCTGGAAAGCCGTGTCCCCTCTGCTCCGCGCCGGAGTTGCTGGAAGCTGTTAATCGCTGCCCGTGGGTTTAATTGGGAGCGAGAACACACAGACCCCATTAAAGCCCACGAGGGTGCCAAGGGCTCTCATTCAGGCACAAATGAAGGAGCAATCAAACCCACTTAGGTAATAAAAACAGCTGGAGTCTGCAGGCAACTGCCTGAGGCACCAGAGCACATGGCAGGCAGGCCGGCCCTCTGCAAAGTCKGCATCCTGCTCCAGAGGATGGAGCACACCGGGATCAGACACAGCGAGCAGGGCTTTATCGGTTATAGGCAGGSAGCCAGGCAGAGAAATGATGGATCATCCTCAAAAAGCAGCGGAGAGCTGGAGCTTCTCGAGCACAGCCCTTGCTGGAGAGTGCCCAGGATTGTTTTTCCAGTGGGAATGATGAGCCAGAGCCTCTCCGCACCGGCTGTAGGGGTCACGATTCCTACAATATCGCTGCCCCCTTGGATCATTCACCATTCTATAGCACATAACCACAGCACCTGAGCATCACAGTGCGAGAGCATCTTCCTGGCTCTTCATTTCTGCTCAGGGATTTGTCTCAGAAAGGGTCCCCAAAGCCAATGGCCAGRTTGGTGCCAGCTCTTGGCCTGGAAGCTTGGCTCCCCGTGAAAGGAAATTGTTTTCCAGAGATTCAGATGGTGAAGGTCTTTGCCCTGTGTTTTTATTTGTTTTTTTTTTTCAGGCAAGATCTTGACTTTTCTCTTTTTAATTCTAATTCTGCTGAAGCATTTCCTGCTTCACAGGGGTTGCTGRTATGGGTGGGTGGGAGAGGTGGGTCTGGGCTATTCCATTTGTGAAACAATCAGGGAAGGAAGCTGGAACAGACATGGAAAGCCTGCAAGGAGAGCTGCAGAGCTGCTCCACATTTCTCAAGAAGATCAGAGTGGAGCCCTGGCAACCCCCTGGAAGTTCATCCTGCTCATTGGAAATGCCAAGATTCAGAGCTGCCCGGGGCTAAAGCAACAACTGGGGAAGGGTTTGAGATGTCTGTGACCATCACTGCTGTAGAAACTCCTCCTCRTTTGGTGCTTCCACATTTTTGCACATCCTGGCTGAAAGATGGGGTGGTTTTTCATGGTTTTCCCTATCCAGGAGGGGCCTGATAACTCCTGACTCAATCAAGAGATTTGTTATGAAGGGCACTGCTCTGGAGCCAGCCCACAGATCCTTGCAGGAGGTGGCAGGAGGATGGGCTCAGCCATGGAATGGGGCTGGGAGGGGCGTCTTGATGTCCAGAGTGTCCCTGTGTTTTTGTGTCAGCATCAGGAGTCCGGAGGTGCCTTCAGGGATCTTCCCTGGGCCTCCCTTGCTCCAAAAGCTCATTGTCAGGAAAATGTCCAGGGCAGGATGCTCAGGAATGTGACAGGGAAAGATCCAAAGGCTGGGTGGTTTGGAAAAATCGGAGGAGTGGGAAAGAGGAAATGCTGCTTATTTCATCCCAGCTGGATTTCCTGCAGGAATATCCAGGACCCGAARCTGGCTGGGCCTTTGGACTGGCCTGGGACAGCCACTCTCCTACTCCAAGCTCTGCTTCAGGTGTCAAGGATGGAAAATGGGATCAGAAGTGGCTTCATGCATGTGCTGAGCACCAGCCCTGTGCTGAGCTCATTCMGGTCCTGAGCTTCCTGGGGCTGCGGAAAAGCAGCTGCTGACTCCTCCAGGAGGAGATTCCCATCTGATTTCCCCCTGCTCCAGGGGTTTCACSGAGTGATGGTCAGAAGGGAAGCATGTGAAGATCTCAGCCCAGGATCCCCAGCCCCCTGCACATGTTCTGGGGCAGAGGCTGGAGTCAGTTGCTTGCAGCAAAATGCAGCTTGGCACAGGTTTGCTTCCTTAGTGAGGGTTAAATCCAGGGCCTGGAGCTGAACTGCTCTGGCCAATCTTCTCTGAGCTGCTGAAATGYAGAGAATGAGGAATAAGATGGTAAAGGGGCCAGCAGGAAGAGCCCRGCAAAAGGAATTGTGGAATACCCTGGGACAAAAGCTCCTGGAGTCAGGAGAGAGTTAACAAACCCAGCTAGAGAGGAGAGACTCCACCAAGGAGCACCAGAAGGGATAATTCCCCKTCTAAGGAATCGTGCTGGAGCCTCGGTGAAGGTTTCCAGCAGTCACTTTCCTCTGCCCATCACCTGATCCTGCAGTCTCTTCAGGAGTAGAGAGGAGTCCGTGACTCAGAGCTGTGCTGGCAGCAGGGAGAGGGGAAGAGGCTTCCGAGCTCCTGCCTGTGCTCGCCTCCGGAGACTCGGAGAATCTTGGCAGGGCCTGCTGGCCTCTGGGGCTTGTAGGATGGTTGAGTGTTCAGGAAGGGCTGTCTGCACCGTGGTGGGGCCACTGGCCTGTGTCTCATGCCACCAGGGATGGGGCCTTCCCAGCAGCACCTTGGTGCTGATGCAGRTTTTCCCCCAGGAACATTTCCCTGGAGTCAGGATCAGCCTTGCAGACTCTCCCCCTCCCTCTGCRTGAGCCAAGTGTTGTCCTGGGCTGATTTAGGGATCCACTTTGGAGTGGATTTGATGGCCGTGCCTGAGTCTGGGCAGCACCAGACATGGTGATTGTGGCTTTCAGTATTCTGTCACTGTATCTGGCCTTTCCCTGGGCAGGTCCAGCACCAAAGAGCCATCCCTGGTGGTTGCCTCGTGTCCCTGCCCAYRGCAGGGGGYTGGAACGGGATGGTCTTTAAGGAGCCATCCAACCCTACCCATTCTGTGATCTTTTGGGGACAGTTTAGCCTGTCAGGTAAGGCAGGGATCAGGTCATGGGGTCAGGTCAGGATTTTTCTTTGCTTGTGACACTCACTGACCCAGCCTGTCCCAGCCTGGCAGGATCTCCAGGGCAAGGGACTCAGAGGATGCTGTGAGCAGGCTCTGGAGAGAAAATGAGAAGGAAAATAGAAAACATGGGCCAGGAAGCAAATCCTACTCCCAACTCCTGAAACACCTGCACCGTGTCCCAGAGACACCACTGAGGTGGAGTTTTCAGGGCTGGAGGAGCACAGCCTGCTCCCTGGAGAGGACATTTGCTCTGAGCATAACCCAGGATCTTCCTATCCTCCATCACCCCCAGCACTGGGATTCTTCCTGTATGGGCCCCTTGCTCTGGGCTTCTGGGCCTGTCCTGCTCAGTCCTGCTCCTCATGCACCTTCTGGCAGCAGCTGGAGGGCCACAGAACCCCCTCAATCCAGCAGTGCAATCAAACTCCACTTTCGTGGCAGCAGGAGCTGGCCTTGGTGGCAGGGAGGGAGAGAGGGAAGGAAACGCCACGGGCTGCGGGGAAGTTAATGTATGGATGAGTGCAGAGTCAGTGCTGAGCTGGAGAGGGGAGGCTGGAGAGGCTGCACAGACAGACGTGAAGCCCGTGGCACACTGCACGGGAGGATTTGGGGAACGAGACGGGGACATTCATGGAAACAGGGAAAAATAAGTTGGTGAAACTTTTCTTGATTTCGTTGTTTTTATGATTTTTAGCCCAAGGTTCTTCCCTTCAGAGGGAGAAGGGGAACGATTCCTCTTCAGCCCTGGGTTCCGGGCTGTTGTRCTCCCCAGGTCCCCCCGGGAAAACCAGCCCGGAGCTACGGGCGGGGAGAGCAGGGGGCGGCTGGAGCTGGACAGGAGGCGATGCCCGCCCCACCCCCGCCCCGACCCGACGCGACGAGGGGTGACAGGGAGAGGGGTGCACCTGTGGGGAGCCCCGGGGAGGGGCGGGGATGGGGGGGGCTGAGCCCCGGTTTGGGGGCAGAGGGTAAAACGGGAGGGGAAGAGGTTCCTGGACAGGTGAGGAGCTCTGGTTTGGGGGGGTAC